AAATAATGTTTATAAACCAATTATAATTAATTAAGTTGCTTAAACAACTATAAACAAAACAGCATCATGTATGTATGCATAGTTTAATACAAAGGGCCGAAAGCCAATCACACAGATTACATTTTTCATTTAAAAACACGAGATGCAGTGGAATGGGGAAATAAAGTTTCGAGATATGTTTTTTTCAAAGTTAAACTTGCATTAATTTTACATGGCTTTCTAAACATGTGGCTCTTTTGTGCGAGACTTGAGTGCAACGGTGATAGATGTCCCTCTAGAAAATGCTCTAAATATGCATTCTGTGTGAACGGCTTGATGTTCTCTTTTCCTGCAATATTTGTAATTAACAATTCAGCAGCGCCGCATCTAGTGGCTTCAACTGGACAGGCTAACAAAAACATTATAATACAACGACACTTACATCGTCATCGCATCTCGTGCGCCACTGATAATGCTGCCTCCTTAACGCAAACCTAAAATTCGAATGCAATGTTTTTGCATTCGAATGTGGATTTTTATTTTAAATTCGACGAATATTTTAAATTCACATTTTTTTTTGACAGCCCTAGTGATCAGTGGGGTCTTATGTTTTGTGTGTTTTGGTCCCAGATGATGAAAGTGATTCAGATGCTGAAGAGGAGCAACAGAACACAGTCAGACTCGATTTTAATCTTCTTCTCCAGTTCATTATCTCATCTCATTAAATAGTTTGTGAGCTAATGTACTCATTTTCCGTCTCTCTCTGTTCAGAAGCGCCGGCGTGCGACTGTAGGTGTTCAACTGGATGACAAGCGTAAAGAGATGCTGAGACGCCACCCTCTCTCGCTCTGCGTGGACCTCAAGTGCAAAGGTGTGTGAAACCATAAATAGATATAGTTGCTCACAAAGGCTGTACAAAATCACATCAAAAATAGAATAAAAACATTAAATTGTGAAATATTATTACAATCTAAAATAACTGTTTTCTATTTGAATATATTCTAAAATGTAATTTATTCCTGTGTTAGAAAGCTAAATTTTCAGCATCATTACTCCAGTCTTCAGTGTCACATGATCCTTCTGAAATCATTCTAATATAATTTGCTGCTCAAGAAACATTTATTATTATTATCAATGTTGAAAAGAGTTGTGCTGCTTCATATTTTTGTGGAAATTGTGATCCAGTTTTTCATGATTCATAAATGAACAGAAATTGAAAAGAACGGCATTTATTTGAAATGGAAATCTTTACTGTCACTTCTGATCAATTTAGTGCATCCTTGCTGAATAAGATTATTAATGTAAAAAATGTACTGACCCAAAACTTTTGAACAGTAGTGTAAATTAGGTTATTAGGATTTTTTTAATTTTTTTATGAATGCTTTATATGAATATAACAAAGTAAATAATTAAAATTTAAATAAATACAATTTAAATGAATAATTTGTTATATTGGAAGTCATATTTTTTGTGCCAGATATAAAAAGATTTGTTTGTAATATTTTAAAAATTATAATTGTTATTTGTGACCCTAGAGCACAAAAGCAGTCTTAAGTCGCTGGGGTATATTTGTAGCAATAGCCAACAATACATTGTATGGGTCAAAATTATGCCAAAAATCATTAGGATATTAAGTAAAGATCATGTTCCATGAAGATATTTTGTAAATTTCCTACCGTAAATATATCAAAACGTAATTTTTGATTAGTAATATGCATTGCTAAGAACTTCATTTGAACAACTTTAAAGATGATTTTCTCAATATTTTGATTTTTTTGCACCCTCAGATTCCAGATTTTCAAATAGTTGTATCTTGGCCAAATATTGTCCGATCCTAACAAACCATACATCAATGGAAAGCTTATTTATTCAGCTTTCAGATGATGTATAAATCTCAATTTTGAGAAATTGACCCTTAAGACTGGTTTTGTGGTCCAGGGTCACATATATGCAATTAAATGTATAGCCCTCTTAAATAGTTAAAATGTAATTAGCTTTTTTCTTAAGATTTATTGTAATTAGTCATTTGATATAGTTATGTAGTTAGCCTTTTTCATCAGTACTTGTATTATCTTTCCCCAGACGGCAGCGTCCTGCATCTGTTTTTCTATTATCTCATGAATCTCAACATTCTGACTGTGAAGACCAAAGTTTCCACCACTACAGATCTGTCCGGAGCCGTCAGCGCTGGGTCAGTGCAGCTGCACCAAAACCAAACCTAAATCAAAAGCTTGCACAGTTAGTGTGGTTGTTTGTTTTCTAACTCCATTTATGCTTCTGTCACAGAGAGCTGCTGAACTCCGAGAGTCTGCTGAACTGTCTTTATGCATCTGATCACGGCAAAGAGACGCCCAACCCTGCCAACCGCTACCAGTTTGATAAAGTCGGGTAAGGTTGACGTCTCCACTTTAGTAGTAACACTGACATAATTAAATTAAGTTAACTAAATGATGGTTTTATGCAGAAATTTCATTAATGGGCATTTTTTAAAATGTTTTTACTTGGAAAATTGTAGACTTTGTACCAAATATAAAACTGAAAGAGCTTCAATTGTACATTATGATTTTTGTACTATATTTGTTGTATGAATATTAAATTATTATGTATAATTAATAAATAATACGTAATGTATAATTAATAAATTATAATGTAATAAATATGTTTTCTTTATTTTATTTTATTTTAATTTCTCATGAAAAAAGCCTTTGCTTCTGAAATGGCATTAAATAATAAATGTAATAAAATGTAATTTTCTGTGCAGAATCACTACGTTTGCGGATTATGTGTCAGATCTCGGACATCCGTATGTTTGGGTGCAGAAACTGGGTGGCCTGCAGTTCTCGTCTGATGTGTGTATTACATTATGCAATGATTTTATTTTTATGCTGTGTTTGTAAATGAGTCTTGAATGCACAATATATCTCCGACCATATCAACGTTTCCAAAAATCAGCTCCAGGGTCACATATTAAAGCCTTGTTCAGAGTCAGACTGTCAGTCCAAATCTGATTTTTGTTCATATCTGATTGGAATCCGTTGACTGTCCACACTGTGTATCGCAACTGCTCAGTTCGTTTTACTCGATATCTGCATCGGTTTCTATGGCAATGACGACGTGTTGGTATGTCTATGCTAAAAACAACAATAAGAGCAATACAGTTTGCAATACAGATGTTGTCTTACAACATGCTGCCGTCGCGATGGATTATAATATTACGTCAGTATGTTTTCTACAAACAACATCTGACGTGTTTATTGTTTACGTGACGTGAGAACGTGAAAAAGCTACGCAAAATCCAATCTGAGCGGTCCGACTGAAACGCATTTCCAGAAATTCGATTTGAATAGGATTTCAAACCACATATGAATGTAGCTTTCGTTGCCGTTCAGATGCACGATTTGGGCTGACAGTCTGAACGAGGCTTAAGAAACAAGATAAACTCAGAAAATGTGTGTTTAGTCAATAAATATGCATTATTATATACATACACTTCACAAAAATATGAAGCAGCACAACTGTTTTCAGATAACAAGAAATGTTTCTGAGCATCAGATCAGCATATTAGAATGATTTCTGAAGATCATGTGACACTGAAGACTGGAGTAATGATGCTGAAAATACAGCTTTGATCACGGGAATAAATTACATTTCAAAATGTTTTCAAATAGAATACAGTTATTTTTAATTGTAATAATATTTCACAGTATTACTGTATTTTTCATCAAATGAATGCAGCTTTAATAAATATATTAATTGAACCATGATGCTTTTGGTTGTTGCTGTCTGTTTAGTTTGTTGCATTAACAATGCAATGGGTTTGTTCTGTTCCAGAGCACAGCATCATACCTGTCTCCAGCGAGTGCCAACATCTGTTTCCTGCTAAAGTGGTTTCCGGTCTCATGCGCTGGACCATGATGAGCTACCAGGAATTCACTGTATGTTCCTTCCAGTCTTCTCTTTCGAATAGGGATGTTTAGCATCTCACATTGACATCATGTAGTGCACATCTGCTTGAGTGAAAAGCAGTATCTCAATGTACTTTGGTTCTTGTTCAACAGGAGCTGGGCTTCGTGCAGCATGTGTTGAAGGCCGGTCTGGTGCGTGAGACCGATCTGTTCTTCATGGCAGTTGTAGAGAGAGGAACAGGTGGGAACTGTGCTCTTGTGTCAGACTCTTCACTGTCGACATGTCTGGTTTGCAGCTTCTTCTGGCCTAAAATCGTCCCCTTGGACAGGAAGAGACCATCTGACTGACATGTTCAGTGGCCATCCACAGTTTTTATGTGATGTTTCGAGTGGCACGTAAATCTGAACTCAGTAATATCTCGTTTACTTGCTACTAGGTATCTCAAATCAAAGTCTTGAACATCTTTCCGAGCAGTGTTTTTATTAACTAAAACTATTAAAAATCTATTAAAACTATTTAAAAGGTTTTGTTAATTGAAATAAAGTATTAATATTTGATGAAAAATTTTAAAAACTTAAAAATTTAAAAATGTTGCATTGAAAGGTTGACAGATTAAAACCTTAAAAAAATGTAATTGCTTTAAAATATAAAAAAGTTATTTTATTTCAGCTAGTAAAACTAAATAAACTGAAACCAAAAACTTGAAAACTATATAGACGTATTTAAAAAATAAATAAATAATAAAAATGGCAAAACACTACAAAATTACTAAACATTTAATTAAGGTTAAAATGAAAACAGAATTCTTAAAATTCATAATTTTATCAAAAGTTAGTATATCAATAGTATATCAATAATACTAAAATAATATTGTTGCATTGGCAACTAAATTAAATAAAATAAGTTAAACTACTAAAATTACTGAAATAAAAATTAAAGCTAAATAGAACTAAAAAACCTAATAAATAGGACAAAAGCACATAAAATTACTAAAACTTTAAAATGAAAGCAAAAAATATATTTTAAAAAATCAAATAAAAAATATTAACAACTATAATAGCATATTAATTATATTAAAATAACACTTGCATTGTCAATGAAATTCTAAATGAAATAAAATAAATTTAATTTGAAGTACTACAATTACTAAACCTAAAGTTTAAAAAAAATTAAGGCTAAATAAAACAAAAAACCGTATTCAGTATATTAATAAATACTATAATATTGTATAAACATTGCTAAAGTAACACTGTTTCAGAGATTCAGCGACGTGAGCATCATAAATTCCACAGTCATGGAAATGTTTGATGACATAACTCTGTCTTTGGTTCTCTCAGCTCGTCTGCTGGCCGCTGTGGTGATGAACCCGCGTTACCCTGAGGTCGCGCCGCTCTTCTCTTTCTCTCTGCACTGGAAAGAAGAGCGCAGCGGGCGCACTGATGATAACCTGCGGGTAAGAGCCTTGCAGCTGCAGCGTGTGCAGAGCTGCTCAGGTGTATTCAGTGTGAAATTATTCTCTAAGTGATGTGGTTGTCATGCGCAGGCGATGGAGAGCGAGGTGAACGTGTTCCGCTCCGAGCTGCAGGGGCCACGCCCGGGTCTCCAGCTCCTGACCAATCAGATCCAGCGCTTGTGTGTGTGTCTGGATGTGTATCTGGAGACGGAGAGTCAAGTGTGTGACGGCTCTGAGGGACCCAAGGAGTTTCCCAGAGAGAAGATGTGCTTGCGCACTGCCAGGTAACACACTAGACCTGCTTTAACCACACTGCTGTTCAAAAGTTTTGGATGAGTAAGATTTTTAATGTGTTTTAAAGAAGTCTCTTCTGCTCACCAAGGCTGGATTTATTTGACCAAAAATACTGAAAAAAACTGTAATATTGTAAAATATTTAAAATAATGGGTTTCTAAAAGCACATAAAATTACTAAAACTTTAAAATGAAAGCAAAAAATATATTTTAAAAAATCAAATAAAAAATATTAACAACTATAATAGCATATTAATTATATTAAAATAACACTGTTGCATTGTCAATGAAATTCTAAATGAAATAAAATAAATTAAATTTGAAGTACTACAATTACTAAACCTAAAGTTTACAAAAAATTAAGGCTAAATAAAACAAAAAACCGTATTCAGTATATTAATAAATACTATAATATTGTATAAACATTGCTAAAGTAACACTGTTTCAGAGATTCAGCGACGTGAGCATCATAAATTCCACAGTCATGGAAATGTTTGATGACATAACTCTGTCTTTGGTTCTCTCAGCTCGTCTGCTGGCCGCTGTGGTGATGAACCCGCGTTACCCTGAGGTCGCGCCGCTCTTCTCTTTCTCTCTGCACTGGAAAGAAGAGCGCAGCGGGCGCACTGATGATAACCTGCGGGTAAGAGCCTTGCAGCTGCAGCGTGTGCAGAGCTGCTCAGGTGTATTCAGTGTGAAATTATTCTCTAAGTGATGTGGTTGTCATGCGCAGGCGATGGAGAGCGAGGTGAACGTGTTCCGCTCCGAGCTGCAGGGGCCACGCCCGGGTCTCCAGCTCCTGACCAATCAGATCCAGCGCTTGTGTGTGTGTCTGGATGTGTATCTGGAGACGGAGAGTCAAGTGTGTGACGGCTCTGAGGGACCCAAGGAGTTTCCCAGAGAGAAGATGTGCTTGCGCACTGCCAGGTAACACACTAGACCTGCTTTAACCACACTGCTGTTCAAAAGTTTTGGATGAGTAAGATTTTTAATGTGTTTTAAAGAAGTCTCTTCTGCTCACCAAGGCTGGATTTATTTGACCAAAAATACTGAAAAAAACTGTAATATTGTAAAATATTTAAAATAATGGGTTTCTATTGTAATGTACTTTAAAATGTGATTTATTTCTGTGATGCAAAGCTGAATTTTCTGCATCATTACTCCAGTCTTTAGTGTCACATGATCCTTCAGAAATCATTATAATATGCTAATTTATTATCAATGTTGGAAACAGTTGTGCTGCTTAACATATGTGACCCTGGACCACAAAACCAGTCGTAAGGGTCAATTTCTCGAAATTGAGATTTATACATAATAAATAAATAAGCTTTCCATTGATGTATGGTTTGTTAGGATAGGACAATATTTGGCCGAGATACAACTTTTTGAAAATCTGGAATCCGAGGGTGTAAAAAATCAAAATATTGAGAAAATCACGTTTAAAGTTGTCCAAATGAAGTTCTTAGCAATGCATATTACTAATCAAAAATTAAGTTTGAATATATTTACGGTAGGAAATTTACAAAATATCTTCATGGAACATGATCTTTACTTAATATCCTAATGATTTTTGGCATAAAAGAAAAATCGATAATTTTGACCCATACAATGTATTGTTGGCTATTGCTACAAATATACCCCAGCGACTTAACACTGCTTTTGTGCTCCAGGGTCACATATATATATTTTTTTGTAACCTGTGATACTTGTGTCAGGATTCTTTGATGAATAAAGTTAAAAAGAACTTTTCTAACAATATAAGTCTTTATTATCACTTTTTATCAATTTAACACATCTTTACTTTTGAATGGTAGTGTATATTGTTACAAAAGATTTCTATTTTGAGTAAAAGCTGTTCTTGTTAATCAAAGAATCCTGAAAAAAGTATCACAGGTTCCAAAAAATATTATGCAGCAAAACTGTAATAAATCAGCATTTAAGAATGATTTCTGAAGGATCATGTGACACTGAAGACTGGAGTGATGCTGATGAAAATTCAGCTTTGCATCACAGGAATAAACTATATTTTAAAGTATATTCAAATAGAAAACCATTATTTTAAATTGCAATAATATTTCACAATATTACTGTTTTTTTCCCGTATTTCTGATCAAATAAATGCAGCCTTGATGAGCACAAGAGACTTCTTTCAAAAACATTACAAATCTTACTGATCCCAAACTTTTGAACAGCAGTGTACACTGAGGAATGAATCAAAATGATTGTTTGCTGGAAGTTAATAATTCAACCCATTGTGTTTCTGTAATCTGGTGTATTTTCGGGTGAAACTTACATGTAAATGACATTACAAATTCAGGCTTTTTCCCCAATCATGAGACATGCATTGATAAATCGTGCACATTAAGCAATGTTTGTTTTTAGAAATAAAAGTTTTACATTTTGATTCCATGATAACTTTGAGTTGTATTTAACCCAGAATATGGTGAAAAATTTCCATGTTTTTCATGGATACAAATAAGTGTTGTTCATGTGAAATCTCATGTCTTTCTCTCAGGGGTCCGAGCCGTCTGAAGCCCTTCAAGTACAACCATCCTCAGGGCTTCTTCAGTCACCGCTGAATCCGGATTGCAGGATGAGCGAGACTGCTTTAGTGTTGTTAGGAGGGGCTGAAATCCCTCTCTCATTCTCTGTTATCTACCTTTTATCTCTATTCTTTCACCTGTGTTTCTCTGTTTGCTCATATAATGTGAATTAGAAAATAAAACACTGATTTTGATAAGAAAATCTCAGTCGTCTTAGCTGTTTAATGATTCCAACTTTTTGTGGTATTACCTGCATGTATTATTATTTTATGTATTTATTTTATATAATGTTTTACATTTTTTATTATATTTATAATTTGGATTATTTTATTATATAATTATATACACACATTTATACACACATAAACATACTGTATATATACATATATGTATGCAGTCACTTGTTTTAATTCTTTTAAATTTTTTTTACATGCATTCGTACTTTTCATATAAACAAAAAATTACGGAAAACAATAATTTATTAGAGACTCTTATTTTGAAATCCACGACGGTTCGTGGTCACGTGACAGTAAATAATGCACACAGTCTGTCAAACCTGTATGTGCACACATCACCTCTGCTGAAGATCATGAACATTTATATCGCAGATTAAACATATTAGACACATATCGGGTGAGTGATTGGATTTACTGCAGGGGATAAAATCGACAACTTTTTTATTTTGACCCTCTCGTGCAGCACAGGTGCATTTAATGCTGCATTAGAGTCACATTAAGATGAATAAGATGCAGGGGCTTCAGAAACAACCCTAAATATTTCTTCATTGATACTGTGGTGGTACCATAGTAACGTGTTGATATCAAATGCTTTCTGATTATTAAAATCTGTCTGTGATGTTCCTCAGACAGCAGAAGTGCTGAAATGAGAGCAGATTTGACTTTTCTGCACGTTTGTTTGCTGCTTCCTGTAGTCAGAGGCACATTATCAAAGACCGATGCCAGAAAAGCCAGTAAGATCCAGGAGGCCGAGGTGAGACTACTGTCTGCAGCTGAGACCAGTTTTACACCGCTTTATCAACAGCTGTGGTGTAAGTGCTAACACTGCTGAATGTGTGCTTGTGTGTCTGAAGGCGACAGTGGCTGATCATCCGGTGCAGGATCGGGGTCTGCTGGTGACGGACCCTCAGTGGTGGGACATCGTGAGAGAGGAGAAGAGGTTCTGTCCTCAGTGTGTGTCCACAGCTTCTATAACAGTGTAAATTTGCTGTCCCCTCAAAATAACTCAACACACAGCCATTAATGTCTAAACCGCTGGCTACAAAAGTGAGTACACCCCTAAGTATCTATCTATTGTCCTTCCGTTCGTCTGTCTGTCTGTATCTATACAGTATATCTGTCTATCTGTCTGTCTGTCTATTCATCCATCTTTCCGTCTCATCTCTCAGTGGAACTCTCATGGATATGACATTGCTAAGTTGTTTGGTCCGAAGCTGACATCCGTGTCTCCGGTGTGGCTTCAGCTCAGACGGAGGGGACCGGAGAGCTTCCACATCACCGGTCTTCATGACCATGATCCCGGTCTGATCACTTCTCTTCCTTTGTAAAACAATGATGCTTTATGGAGAAAAAAGCCAAATGATTTTATTTAGACACTAACAATGCTCGTCTTTTCACAGGTTGGGTCAAAGCCGTGAGGAAGGCCAATAAGAAAAAATAAAATGAGTGAGTACGGATTTAGTGTTGTGGAAGACATGAGGTTGATCTAGCTGAAAGCGTCAGGTGCTCAGCGTGTGTTTCTCTCGCAGTTCCTCGGCTGTTGTTTGATGGGTGGTCCTATCAGGACTACATAAGCGTACTGGACAGCGAGGATGAGATGGAGGAGTTGGGTCGAGAGGCGCTGGAAGTGGCAAAGGTGCTGTATTTATATGCTGTTCATGTCATGTCGAAATGATCATTTTTACGGGACCTTTCCTGACAAGGAGATCCATATTCCACTTCCTGGGAGTCGGAGTGCTCAGGTTTTTGTCAGTCTAACAGGAAGTTCCCAGTCAAAAGTCTGACTATAGGCCATATACTGTATTTGATTAGTGTAATTTCACTTTTGTGTAACCAAAATATCATACGTGTATGCTGGTTGATCTGCTCTGATGAAGCTGATTTGATTTCGTGATCATGAGAATCAGTGACTGACTGTGATTTTGCTCCTCAGGCTGAAGGGTTTGGAGTTATGGAGTCAACTCGGAGGAAACAAGAGAAAGTGAGTAAGAGTGTGTGTTGGTACTGTTAACTATATATATATATATATATAAAACTTTAAAAACGTAACCGTAAAAACTAACTGAAATAAAAAGTTTAACTTAACTAAAACTGAAATAAAGTTAAATAGAAAGACAACAAAAATGACTAAAATGAAAAACACGCTTAACAAAATGACTAAAACTTCAACTGAAATTAAAATGAAGACAAAATATAAAAATAAAAGATAAGTCAAAATATTAATAATTGCTATAATTATATTCACCCACTGTTTTTCAGCCGAACCCCATTTGACCTAAAGTATTTAATTGAAGTGAGATTTTAATTAGATTTTAACTTAATATTTCAAGAATTTAACAACAACACATCTGCATACAGTTCTCTGTTGTCAGATAATGGTAATGTAGCATGCAAAAAAAAAAAA